GGGAAAACACTGAAGGTCTCTTGAAAAGTCACCTAGAAACATTATAGAGGCTTCCTAATATATAAAAGAATTTAAACAGAAGTCAACATATAATAGAAGAGAATGCCTTACTAGACATACCACCAAGTAAAACCGCCAGTGCCAAGAATAGGTTACATCTTTTAAATCACTGGTCAAAGGAGGCCCACAGGTAGACCTCCTCCCCAATAAACCATTACATGCTGTTGACAAAGCTATTGGTTACTCTCCATTAACAGGATGGTAAGGCATTCTTGCTGAAGACACAACTTATTTATATCATCAGACATGCAGAAATCAAGCTGGTGTACGAGAAGCTTCACCCCCACTTATTGATTCACGGTGCTAGAAGGTACTTTGCATGCTACTAGGGGAGAAAAGTCATGATCAATCTCATCTGGCTACAAACCTTGCTACATACAACAAACCTGAAAGACATACTGATGCCATGGTGGCGTAACATGGAACCCAAACATGACGCTGCTAAAGTGCCCAATAACCTGAGACTAGATAGGTCTAGATGAAAACCTATTATTTTGTTAAAGGAACATAGCAATAAAATGACTCTTAATGGCCTGCTATACCCATGGGGCAGATCATCATTCAACCCTCCATCAAAAAGTTTCTTGCAATCAATAGTAACCAATAAATAGATGCACAACTGGACAAACTGCAAACAGTGAGAGACTTTCAAGCACTCAGCCCTAAGTGGGATGTCTTTGTCAGAGCCTTCCCCTTAAGGCTCAGAGATCTAAGTGGACACAGAGGCAGAAAGATTCTAGTGAATGATTCTAAAGAATAATTCTTCTTACAGACACAACTCAGAGAAACTGTGACAATACACACAAGACTCCACAGAATCAACCAAAGTCCCAGCACTGAGGACAAGATACAAAGTCCCACCCCTAACCAAGGACCTATTTGCAACTGATAGTTTCTGGGAAGCAGAAAAGCAGTTTTCTCCAAAGGAGTGTTACTGGGTCTATCAATGACACTCCCAGGGAAGGTTCCATTCGCAGATGCAGTTGGTCAACACGAAAGAGACTTCATGGTGTTTACATTTTGTGTGTGTGTGCCCAAGTTTTTTGGGCTGTTTGAGAACTTTTTGTCTTTGTCTTATTTTCTTTTTTTTCAGGTTTTGCTTTTGTTATTGTTTCTTCTGTTTTCTTTATCTTTTGAGAGAAAGAAAGAACATGAAATTGGGTGATGAGGAGGTGGGGAAGATCTGGGAAGGTATTGAGGGAAGAAAAATGGCCAGAATATAGTGTATGGAAAAAAAGAAATAAAATATTTTTAAAATTCACCAGTGTTTTGTAACTTAAAAGATTATGGCAGTAAGATTTTAGAAAACCTACTTTCTTATGACATATCTTAAAATCAATATATTCAGTACACTATGTAGAATAGAAAAAAATCTAGTAATTTTACACTTACACTGCCACATTTTTTCTAATGGTATATTCATCCAACTCGTCATCTGAGCTGCTATCGGTGGCATCAGAATCCAGACCCTCTTCAACATGAGACAACAGCCCTGTAGCAGACAGTGCAAATCTTTGGATTTCTGCAGCTGTACATTGAGAAAAGCCATTGTTTGTATCATCCCAAAACTTATTCTCTGAAGCCAATATGTTGACTTCCGGCTTAATTTCAGTGTGTTCAAGTAAACTATTACTCAAAACTGTTGTGGGTTCATGAAAGATCTTCATTGTGGGCAGCTGATGTTTCATAGAAAATTTCATCTGTTGACCATAGTGTTTAACAACATGCTTCGCCAGGAGCATCTGCAAATGTTTCTGAGTTCTTCTAGCCTGGCTAAGTAAAATTTTCTGTTTACTCACACAATGAAGTAAACGAGCATTCACTTCCTCCTCTTTTTCAGCAGCTGAGGAACTAGTAGGCACATCTGAGTAACTAGGTCCAATTTTCTTTTGAGTACATTGCAATAAACCCTTTTTAATCTTAGTATCAGTGAATTTATCCAAAAGTGCATTCTTTTGGTACCATTTACAGTTTTGCAGATGTATTTTATCTACATTAGCGTCTTTGGTGATATTTGAATCCAAAACAATTTGTATATCTTTCATGCACTGGCTTGTGGTATCTGAGAGTTCCTTTTTGATGAACTCATTCTCGGAATGAGAATGGCAGATCTTACTGAGCTGAATGCTGCTGCCGTTACACAGTACATTTTTCAGCTTACAGCAGTTGGACTCCATTACTTTCTTTTGGTTATAATTCTCATTATACTTATTTAGTGTTGAATTAGAACTCATTAAAAGAACCGTCTGAAAATGTTTTGAAGCCTGAGGGGAGGCAAAATGTTTTAAATTCACAAAATTAGTATTTAGAGTAGGTTCAGGAGTTGGAAATCCCAGCATCTGAGAGAAAGTGTCTCCTCTCTTAAGCTTTTCATCTACAGTTCTCGGACTTTCCATGCACAGCATCTTGTCAGATTCCATGGTATTTGGCAAAGATGAAAAGCAGATACCCTTTGTTGTTGCCTCCTTCAGAGCTGGGGTCATGGCGAATCCTGGAGATAATTACTGGAAGCCTAAAATTACATAAAAAAAAAAAAATACATGATCAAACATCTAGGAACCAAAAACTTGATGCTTACACTTTTGCCAAGGGCAACTTTTATGTTTGAAGTTTCTGATTAAAATGAGCAAGGCACCAAAGATTTCCTTTATCTCCCAACTTCCCACATGATCTCAATAATAAGCCGTTATTCTCCATTCTGATGGTAAGCCTAATGTTCACAATTCAAATTAAAGTTGCACATTACTAGACCAGAGATATTCTCAGTGGTATAGCACTTGTATGGCACATGCGAGATCCTGGATTTTATCTATAGCAGCACCAAAAATAAAAAATAAAAAAAGAATGCCCTTGCATACTGTCACAGTAAGGGCTTAATAACAAATATGTGTGTGTGGGTGCAAGTACATCTCACAATCACATCACTGACAGTGGTTAGTGACAGTCGAGAGAAAAACTTACAACTGTCACTCTCTTAAACTTGAAAATGTGATTCAATCTCATAACTGCAAGAATATTTCTTTATGAAACAACAGCATTTCCTAAAATGAAGTTCATCTGGAATTTTTTTTCAACTTTAACAGTAATAATTACAAGTAAAATATGCTCAATAGTCTGTTGATAAGTACAGCTAAGTGAATGCAAAACATATGAGTTCATACTTGCTAAAAGTAATGCAGCAGTGAGAAACTGCCTAGTCTGAGGCATGTTTGTTTCCTAAAAATGTATCTACACTGTTTTTCCGTTCTCACATATACATGTTTATTAATTATCACTGTAGAATGTATTCCTACCTAGTAAATAGTAAAAACAATGTTAGATGACCAGTAAAGATCAATTCAAACTTCAAAAGAAAAGAATGAAGCCCCATGTCCTGATAATACAGAAAGTAGCAATCTAGTTAGTACCAGTAAGTCTTTCCAACAGCATACTTAGCAAAAAATCTTTACAGAATTAACTATTTTAAGTTTTTAATGATACCTAATACACTGTAACTATTACACTCCATTACTTTTTCAACACACAAGGCACATTCTAACATTATGTGCACCGAGATATTAGCTGTAACTGTACGGTTTTCATTTTTATTTTCCCCCAAACCAGCACAAATGATCAAGAAGAAGAAAAGGTGTGAAAATTTCTTTATTAAAAGAAAAAGAGCAGGGCGGTGGTGGCGCATACCTTTAATCCCAGCACTTGGGAGGCAGAGGCAGGCGGATTTCTGAGTTCAAGGCCAGCCTGGTCTACAGAGTGAGTTCCAGGACAGCCAGGGCTATACAGAGAAACCCTGTCTCGAAAAACCAAAAAAAGAAAAAAGAAAAAAAAAGAAAAAGAAAAGAAAAAAAAGAAAAAGTAAAAAGAAAAAAAACCACAGAGGATTAATAGCATACAGCCAAGTATGCTAACACATAAAAGAGAGGTGTTAACACATAAAAGATAGGTGTTAATACCTAGATATATTTTTAAAGCCTACAAATAAGTAAAGGACACAGTAATAATGCACTTAGGTGATAATGTCTAAGTGGTCATTTACATCTACTTGATCACAGTAGTAAGAAATGCCTATCAGCCAAACCAACAAAAATGATTCAAGTCTGAACTATCACTTATGATGAGGAAATAAGCAAGCAAAATTTCTCACATCTACTGAGGCCACACACTGGTTGAGTAATTTGTACATAAAGTAGAAAATATACTTGTTACAGCTATATGAGCAATAATTCTAAGCAAAACATTAATTCAAAATTGCTCAGATATAAAACAAAACAAAAGAGGAAAGAACAATAAAACACATTGGAATAATATATTAAAGTTAAAAGACAATCAATATGGAAAAACTTTAAAACTAATGGTAAGAAGAAAAAGGAACAGTGTAGGTATGCACACACATACAAACACACACATTAGTTTTATATCATAGAAATATAACACAAACATAATACCATAACACATATATGGATGTCCATGCTTATATTCAACAAAAATTGAGCTAGAAAGACACCTACCTACCCATAACAGTAGTTGCATCAAGTTCCATGAAACAGAAGGAAGAAATGGTTTAAGAGGATTTTCATTTTCATTATAAACGTTATGACTTGGGAAGAAAAGGAGCAAATGCAAAATGAACAAATGTTAATGATTAACTAGGTGATAAAATACCAATGTTTGTATATACACACATTGTGTGTGTGGACACACACACTTTATAATGTCTCAATGTAAAATATGCTTATAGTCTGCCTTCAAATTTGAATTACTCCAAATTCTGTGTAAATAAGCTCTGATTTCTAGTATAATAGACTCACACTCATCCTAAATATTAAAGGAAAAATTAAAAAAACAAGGTTTTTGTTTGAAATTCACTCTGCTATTAATGGAAATAGAAAAATAATTACAGAACATCAGGGAAATGATGGAGAGATGGCTCAGTGGTTAAGAGCACTTGCTCTTGAGAGGAATTATTTTGACTTTCGTATGGGGAGAGAAAGAAAAGGAGTTCCTCCAGGACTTTGGATTGGCCTCACAGTGGCCTCTCTCGCCTAGAGGAGCACTACAGCTCCTGTTAAAGAAGAAAAAGAAAAAGAGAGAGAGAGAGGAATTATTTTCTGTTCCCAGCACCCACACTGGGCAATTCACAACTGCCTATAACTCCAGCTCCAGGGGATCTGAAGCCCTTCTTGTGGGCTCTGATGGTGCCCTCACATGTGACATTCAAACATACACTTTGTGTGTGTGTGTGTGTGTGTAAAATCATTAGGGCAAAATACCCAAATCTCCTAGGATTTAAATGAAAATTTGATCAAGAAATTGACATATACCTTACTATGTAGTAATCAAGAAAGACCTACAATAACATTTCTCTTACCCCACTCACAAACATTTAAATGAGATGTTACGGATACAATCAAAGTGGCTTGCAGCAGAGAATACTGAGACAGAGTGTCCTGGGTGAAGATGAGGGAGAACTACAAGGAAGTAGAATAAGGGCAGTTAAGGAATAGAATAACAACAGAAGGAAATAAATGCAAAGATTAATGTGGCTAAGGGCCATCTATGATAGAAAATGAAAATGTATAGACAACCTTGTGACAGCTCTGTTTTACTACACTACTTCCAAAATGGCCCTAATAGTCATCTACTGCTATTCATATGTGCATACTCTCGCCTCCTGAGCATGACTGAGTGGTATACCTGAGGTGACTATATCCAGCAGAAGTAACAGACTATGACTTCTGAGATTAAGATAATGACAAGACTGAATCTTCTGTCTTATTGTCTTTCCCCTTAGTAAAGATGCTAACTGCTAGACTGTGAGCTGGAATGACCATATGGCAAAAAGATGCCACCCATAGGTGGCTTGTGAGGAATTGGGGAAGCAGACTGTTCCACAGTGAAGCCTGGAGAGGACCACAGCAGCACCTGCTAGCCTGATTAGAGCCGATGAGAGAACTCCAGAGAGCCAAGACAAAGAAGCTGGAAAACAGGGTTTTAGATAACTAGAGGGCTTTTGTTACCTATAAACAGATAACTATCTTTTTAAGTCATTTTTTATATTTGAGATTATAACTTAACTGCACCTTATAACTGCATTTGCCATGAAGACTTTTAGATTATAGTCTTCTAGTTATAACACAACCCCTATTTAAAATTTCCATGAGGTTCTTTTGTGCACTATTCCCAAATGTATCCTTATTTGAAAAAAAAAAAACCCTAAGCAGAAATAAGTCTCTGTAATGTATAACTAAAAGAAACTCATGAAAATATTTGTATCTTATATGCATTATGGTTTCAGTGTAACATGTGATTCATTTCAATCATTTAAATTTATACACATACATATATAATTGTATATTTTCCAATTGAAAATAATTCTAAAATACCACTTTTGCCTACTTGCATATTTATGTAAAATATTTTAAAATATAATTATTAGCTCTTATAAGCTCTAGTAATGTTTAGGCTGCTACTTTTCTATTATACAAAAAAACAATGTGACCAGGCAGACACTCTATAAATATCTGCTGACTAAATGAGCAGTCAGCCCTGTATTTACAATAAAATCTAAAATTACCATTTTCATGGACTACAGGTTCTACATTCTCAGGTCTCTGCCCGCTTCATCTTCTACAGTTTTCTCCAGGGATTAATACACTCCAGAGACACTGGGCTTCCTGTTAACCAACAAGTGACAGTACTTGTTGTTTTGTAAGTATGAGAACAGCTCTGATTAGATGACTAACTCCCTTCATTTACCTTGCTGAGGTAAGGTCACATTAAAGCAGTCTGGTCTTCCTCTGTGACTGCCTTACTGTTCTCCACATAGCACTAGCACTCTCAGACACTCTTTATACTCTGGGAAGTAAGACAGTGTAGGGCAGGTTTTTGTTTTTTTCAAATTTATGTTATGTGTATGGGTGCTTTGCCAGCACTTACTCCTATGTACCATGTATGCGTAGTTCCTGTGGAAGTCAGAGGAGGGTGTTTGATCCCATGTAGATGCTGGGAATTGAGCCTGGGTCCACTGGAAGATCCGTGAATGATATTTAACACGAGGCCAACAATCCATCCCCTAAAGGCAAGTTTTAGTTTATGCACTAAACTCCCACAATAGAGTATCTTGGCCAATATACATGTTCTGTATTTGTTACAGGGGTTCATGAACTAGTGGTTCATCTCTATGTGGCAGAGCCTTGCCCTGAGTTCCTGACAAGCCTGTCTATGACTGATCATCCTATCTCTCCAGCCTAAATCCAGGGATTACACAGACACACTACCACAACCATTGCAGGTCATCAAAATACAGTTGAAACACATTTCCAAATGTGTTTCAGGATTCATGTAGTTATAACTAGTAAAAATATCTATTTAATTAATATTTTAACAATGACTGTACAATTACAGCACTATACAAATGGGTTAATGGGACCCAATCAAGTATGGCATATTTCATGATCTCAAGACAGGTTCAACATTTTTTTTTAACCAATCACTAAAATTCTCCATATCAAAGTTAAAAAAAAAAAGATCTCATATAGTAAAAGCATTTCACAAAATGTAAAAACCCACTTATAAGAAAAAAAAAAGAACTCATGAAATTGAGGACATAGGAAAGAAATTCCTTAACCAAGTAAAAATCATGAAAGTCTATAGTTTATATCTTGATAGTGCATGAAGAATTCTCTTGCCCCAAGACTGGGAATGAAACAAAATATTCTTACCATCCACTTTCAGTGTCACACTAGAAGAGCTACTAAGTATGTTATGACAAGAAAAGAGAGACAAGCAGATTAGAAAATAAACTTCTCCATTAACACAACATTATTTCTACATAAATACTCGAAAGGATTCTACAAAAAAAAACATGTTCTAGAACATTCATCCTAAGAAGCATTTAGTCATGTTACAGACACAGTGAAAATACTAAAACCATTTGTACTTCATTATCACAGATGTGAAAAACCATACCAGACATAGAAAATTTGAAAACAGTGATAACTCCAATGTTTCATGGATGGCTCATCTTGGTAGTCAGTCACCTTAACAACATCTGTAGTCAATTAACACCTGAGATGGGCACACCTGGGAAGGATTTTCTTGATTAGACCATTTAAGGGGAGAAGACCCACCCTAAATCAGGACCATGCTTCTGGATGCAACCTACAAAAAAAAGACATGGAAGAGGTTTGGCGTTTTGCTTGCTTTGCCCTCATTCTGCCTGGAAAGTTCATCTCTCCTGCTATTGCTGAGTCATTCTTTTGCTGGTATTGGAACCTACTTCATGGTGTGCTGGGGTACACTCCCAGCTGGTCTCTTCCTGTGTAGTCACCATATCCTGACCCATCCTTAGAGGAACCACTGTACTCAGAGCAGCTGATGAAACACTGCACTCAGAGCAGAAGGATTTCAGAATCCAAGAGGCAGTGTGAGGACTTTAAGAAGGACATAAATAACTCCCTTAAAGAAATACAGGAGATGGGGCTGGAGAGATGGCTCAGCGGTTAAGAGCACTGACTGCTCTTCCAGAGGTCCTGAGTTCAAATCCCAGCAACCACATGGTGGCTCACAACCATCCGTAATGAGATTGGATGCCCTCTTCTGGTGTGTCTGAAGACAGCTACAGTGTACTCATCAATAAAATAAATAAATAAATATTAAAAAAAAAAAAAAAGAAATACAGGAGAACACAGCTAAACGGGTAGAGGCCTTTAAAGAGTAAACACAAAAATCCCTGAAAGAATTGCAAGAAAACACAAAAACAGGTGAAGGAATTAAACAAAATCATCCAAGATCTAAAAATAAAAGTAGAAACAATAAAGAAATCTCAAAGGGAGACTACCCTGGAGATAGAAAACCTAGAAGAGAGATCAGGAGTCATAGATGCAAGCATCACCAACAGAATACAAGAGATAGAAGAGAGAATCTCAAGTGCAGAAGATACCATGGAAAACACTGACACATCTGTCAAAGAAAATGCAAAATGCAAAAAGCTCCTAACCCAAAACATCCAGGAAATGCAGGAGACAATGAGAAGACCAAACCTAAGGATAAAAGGTATAGATGAGAGTGAAGATTCCCAATTTAAAGGACCAGTAAATATCTTCAACAAAATTATACAAGAAAACTTTCCTAACAAAAGAGATGTCGCCTTTAATCCCAGCACTTGGGAGGCAGAGGCAGGCGGATTTCTGAGTTCGAGGCCATCCTGGTCTACAGAGTGAGTTCCAGGACAGCCAGGGCTATACAGAGAAACTCTGTCTCGAAAAACAAAACAAAAAAAAAAAAAAAACCAAAAACAAAACAAAACAAAACAAAAAAAACAAAAGAGATGTCCATGAACATACAAGAAGGCTACAGAACTCCAAATAGACTAGACCAGAAAAGAAATTCCTCCCATCATATAATAATCAAAACATCATATAAACAAAACAAAGAAAAATATTAAAAGCAGTAAGAGAAAAGGTCAAGTAACAAATAAAGGCAGACCTATAAGAATTACACCAGACTTCTCACCAGAGACTATAAAAGCCAGAAGATACTGGACTAATATCATACAGACCCTAAGAGAACACAAATGCCAGCCCAGACAACTATACCCAACAAAACTCTCAATCACTATAGATGGAGAAACCAAGATATTCCATGACAAAACCAAATTTACACAATATCCTTCCACAAATCCAGTCCTACAAAGGATAATAGATGGAAAACTCCAACACAAGGAAAGAAACTACAACCTAGAAAAAGCAAGAAAGTAAGCTTCCAACAAACCCAAAAGAAGATAGCTACACAAACATAATTCCACCTCTAATAACAAAAATGAGAGGAAGCAACAATCATTTTTCCTTAATATCTCGTAACATCAATGGATCTGAATTCCCCAATAAAAAGACGTAGATTAACGGATTGGATACGTAAACAGAACCCAGAATTTTGCTGCACACAGGAAACACACCTCAGTGACAAAGACAGACACTACCTCAGAGGAAAAGGTTGGAAAACAATTTTCCAAGCAAATGATCCCAAGAAACAAATTGGAATAGCCATTCTAGTATCAAATA